TAGCTTAAAAATAAACATATCTAATACTAAGGAAATGGATGCATGGATTCATCCATACATGTGTGCCTCCAGTTATTGGAGTTTTGCATGGCCTCTTCTAAGGTATTTAGGGCTGCATTATGAGAAAATGGTACAAAACTTCCCTGTTGCATCTTCACGAGCAGAAGATATATCTCCCTCCTAGAACAGAAGTTACAAGCATAGCCCATTGAATGACTCCTATTGTACAACTGGAGTAACACCTGTTCAGTCTTTCATCTGTAGACCATGATTTGTTATTTTCTCAAGACAGTTGAATGGTGCAATTTTATACTAAAAGACTCCTACTGTAACATGTTTCCTTCTTTCTGAAGAGCTAATCAGAAATATTCTCTCCCCCCTCAGCCCCCCCCCCATGGGATCAAGAGGAGGATGTACGCTAGAGAAACAGGTTGGAACTGTTAAAATAATTGGCAACTTTGAATTCTTGTGAATCTAGTTGGCCTCACATTAAAATAGAAGCTTTTAACTTTTAATTATTTATTTCTGGCAGAGCCATAAAACTGCTCTTTTATGACATGAACAGTTGCAAGCAAGCAGGAGTTTTCCTCATTAAAAAGAGGCCATGGCTCTGGAAGTCTCTGTTTATATCATTGTGGACCATGTTCTTTGCCAGTAAGGCTATTAAAGTAACTGAGGACTCACACAGCAATCTTCAGAGGTTGCTTCCCTGGTTACTCCAGCACAAGCAAACTTCTCTATAACCAACTGCAGGCACATGAAAGCTAACAAAGGCTAGTTAGGGAGCTGGCAGTGACAACTTTTATTTCAGGTATGCCCATAGAAAAGAATCTGTGAAATGGAAAATATAAGCCTGGGGAAATGCCAAGTTCCAGTACTGACTCCTTGGCTAAAAACTGCCATTTTGTTTCCCTTAAAAATGTTTTGTGTATATGTGTGTATATGTGTATTTGCAGAACTTAGCTTCTTGAAAAGCACAGATGTGTGACTGATACCAGGTAATCTAGAATGATCTATTTCAACAGTGTCTGCTTCATCAATACAATCCCTATTGATCAGTGACCTCTTTGTCTTTTGTGTTGTAATTTTCAGACATCACTGGTAAACAGAGATTGTGCTTTGGAAGCCAAAGCAATTGTGCTGGCCTTGAGTTAACAAGCCAAGGTTAGGTTAGTGTTTTCTTAATGTTTTCCTTTCAGACAGCAGAAAGTGTAATGGTAGTCTTTGAATTTCAATTATCACTGTACTCTGTTCTGCCTTAGTAAGAGTAATGTATAAATTAAGGAAACTAATTCTGCTTCCCCTGGTCCTGTTTGTTCTATCCAAAGCCACCAGATGATGGAGAACGCCCACCTATCAATCTCTTTAATATGGGCTTGCTTTGGGCTTTGCTGCTGCCAGCATACAATCTCAACCCCAACATCCCCAGCTTTCCATAGGTAGATCCTTTTTTCTCCTCCTTTCTTTCCTTGATAGATGACTGTGAAAAAGTGATGTTTTATTGTGTGTGTGTGTGTGTGTGTGTGTGTGTGTGTGTGGTTTAATGCTCAGGAGCTTCACCACCACTTGAGATGAACCTTGATCCTCTTCTGTCTTTTTCTATTCCCCTTTCATGGTGTGACCTTCTTTTTTTCAGCTGATGGTGGGTCTATAGCAGGGGGGTAGTTATAGCAGCTTTATGATCTGTGGACTTCAACTCCCAGAATTGCTGGCATGTTGGCAGTTGGCTCAGGAATTCTGGAAGTTGAAATCCACAGGTTGTAAAGTTGCCATAGTTGTCCACCCGTGGTCTGTAGGAACCATCTGAACTTGAGTGAGAGGAGCTGGGTGGGGAAAAAGAGGCAAGTTGTGTGATGACTGCTTAAGGATCAGATCTCATAGAGCTAGTCAAATGTTTTAATATCACTGTGAGGGAGATGAGGGAAACTAATCAAGAAAAAGTCAATTTTAAGCAGTGCTTTTGAGCATGACATGTATTCCCTTTGTATGCATTTCCTGAATTAATCAGTTGTCTGGATTTACACATTACATTGCACAATCATCAATTAACTCAAAAGCCCGATTTATAAATAAAGATGGTAAAACCACAAACAAAAACACTAACCCTAATTAAGTGTAACATGAATCAAGCTTAGTGCTGAGACTGTAACCTTTTGGTTTCCATCCTACCAGGATGTTGTATAAACACAGCCAGAAAGAACAGACTTTTCTCAAACATTCATTTTATCTGCTAGTTTTCTGCTCGTAGTTGGCCCACAAAGATTTTCCTGCTGAAGAAACCATTGTTTTGATTTGTGGAGCATAACTCACTAAGTTCCACAAAAATAACTGCTAGTGAAATTATAAGAAGCTTGAGGAGAATTGTTCTCCTGATATTCTACTATCTGTATAAATCATACCATAACGTCTTGGGGAATTTATGAGATTTGTGTTCTTTGATAATAGTTTAGAAGGAATTGTTCTGTAGCTTCTGGTAAAATCTGGCACCTGAATAAAATGGGTTAAGTATGGAAAATATGCATCATACAAGATAGTTGAATAAGATAATTTCTGAACTAGCATATTTTGTAGTTAGTGTTCAACAACAACAACAACAAAAAAAAAAACAGGAAAGCACAGATTCAGGTTCCCACCTCACCTTAGAGCTTATTTGGGTTCACTCCTTAATATCTTCAAAATTTATTGATTATAAGAAAAAGAAAGTGTCACATCTTCAACCCCCTCAAGACCTCAAGCATTCAATGTTGGGTTCCTCATCAAAAGCGGGAATATGAAAGGAGAAAATAAATAAAATTTATTCTTCCATCTCTTTACTAGATAACCTTACTCCTGTCCCAAGTAAAGAGATCTGATATGATTAATTTCAGAAGCATTTATTCAATATTAAATCCTATTCTGTGAAGTGGGAAGGGAGATTATGGCTGGAGCTTTATTCAGTGGGAATACAGGGAAGAATGACTTGCTCAGATGCTGAGAAGTATTTATTCAGAACTAAATATATTGAAGCTAATTATTGGGAAAATGTGTTTTGGAATAGTTATTTTCAAGATGGAAGCAACAGTTCTTGTAATTGGAGATATAGCTCTGGGAAGAGACAGGTGATATCTATTGTGCATTGAGACTGAATGAGAGGACTATGCAAGCTAGTTGCTTTAAAAGAAAATGTTAGAGAGGGGAGATCTCCTTGTGCACGAAGCCAACAACCCAGAGTACAGCCTCATTTGGGCTACACAAACAGTATGGAAAACTATTCATTTGTTAGGCATTGGTAGTTATTATCCAAGTAGAGAAGAACACAACAGGCTTCTTGGCACTTTCTTCAGTTCCAATCTAATGTATATCCTACTTATTCTGAAATTGATCAGAATTTGTGTATACTTACAACTTGTTCTCTTCATAGAAATTGGGATTAGTTCTTTAAATGTGTAATAAAAATTGGCATGAGATCATAACAGAACTTCACAAAAGATCATTTTTCAGACCACACCTCTCAGGTGGAGTCCCAGGCCAAGAAATGCTTCTTTTTTTTTCCTAACTAAATTTTATTTTATTTGCTGAAAAAAGAACTTGCTTTAAATTTTTTTCCAAAGGAGTTGAGAATTATGTGGAGTTTAGGGAATTCTTGTGGGTGGTATGTTGAGTTCTGATATTTGTTTACTAATGAGATGGCCAAGAACTGAATGACCATGCCTGTTTTTCATTGTATAATCACTGTTGCAGTCATGGCACCTTCCATAACATCTCAGTGTTTTGTTAAATTCCATAGGAGAGCTTAAGAGAACTTGCATCTTTTCAGATTGTGGAGAATAAACACCTTGGGAAGCTGGAGAGATGTGTAACAATAAAGCAAAAGATCTAATGGCACCTTCCATTAACCCCCAAAATAAAATAAGATTTAGCCACCATCATAATCTGAGAGTAAAGCAGAAAAGTTTAGATGACAACGAGCTGACAACAATAAAAACAACAGCTAAGATTTCAAGAAAATCCATTCCAAAACCTCTTCACTTTACCTTACATAGCAGTACCCATTTTTTCTAAACATTCCCATATTAATATAATTATTACTATTTAAATAACTGGGAAAAACAAGACCTAAATCTATAAATTGTCCTCATGTCAAAAAACCCCTCAAAGAACAACATCTTTGACTCTAAATTTGATCAGTCTCTATAAAAGAGAGAGTTTTACCTACAAATGTTTACTTCTATCCAAAGTAATTTTTTAAAAAAGTCCTTTAAAACACACACACACACACACACACACATTTAGAGGAGTTCTAGCTCAAAAGCCCCTGCATCTGTTTCTCTAAAGCTGAGTGGACATCATTCTCTCAGAAGATCTACCATGTCTGCAAATTTCATCTCAACATGTTAAGAGTAAAAAAGTTGCAGTTAAGTGATTTTCCCTTGACAGCCAATGGATAACATAAAACTTGCTTCAAATTCTGGATCCATACTGAGCAGTCTCCATTTTGGTCCAAATAAAATTAGGCTGTTTTCTGAATCATTGAATTGACACCTGAATTGAATTGACACACATCTATAATATGGATCTGATGAATGCAAAAATAATTGTGTGGTTCTTAGTTGTATTGGGAAGATGGGCTACAATTCTATAACTGTAAAATCTTGTTGTTGAGTTTCTTTAATTTTCAAGTACAGCACTATTGAAAAAAGGGTTATGCCTATAAATATATTCATTATCGATTTCTTAAGGCTTATTTTGAAAGAAACAAATCTTTTTATATCAGAAATGGCCAAAATAGTGAGGCAATTAAAGATATAGATACATGGATAGATAGATGGACAGGCAGGCAGATACAGATTTATTTGCAGCAATGCCTCTGTGATTCACAATTTTTCAACCACGTGAAGAACAGGAATGAGATTTTTATGAGCAATGAAAAACAAACTCATTTTTATGGACAAATGACCGCAAATGGATATTATTTAACCACAATTCAGCTGCTGACTAGAAGATGTGTAAGCCACAAATCATTTTTGAAAGATGTCACATCTTCATATGCAGGTTTCTCTCATCTGTTTATCAAAGTACTCATGAAAAAGGGCACTTTATAATGTTTTCTCAATGACAAGTCCAGAACCACAAGATTTCAACATTTCCATCTGTCTTTCCTCAGAACTCACAAATGTTTAGGGATGGGAACTACGGTCCAGTAGTAGTTTTTCCCCCTTGATCATATTGAGGAAGCTGCTGAAAAAACACAGTGGAGAAGCAACCGTCATAGAAAAACAAGATGCTTCAGAATGGTCAATGCCTTTTTTGCCAGCAAGAAATGATAGCAAGACCACCAGTTCAAAACACACTAGGTGTGGCAACACAGTTTGTAAGAAGAAAGATCTACTTTCTAAAGAGTAAATATTTGCCAGAAAACATAGTTGGTGAAGTCCACATCCAAGAAGAAAGCCACTTTACAATGGTGCCACTCCCTTTCCATGAAGTGTTTGTAGGCGGAAGGAGAATTCAGAAGAACCGTTTTAGTTAACAACTTTGACAAAGCAATAAGAAGAGTAAGTTGCCAAGGATTCTAATATTTATTTCAAAATGTTTTCTCCATTGTAGGAATCTGATCTTTTTTTTTCCTCTTTCAGAATGAAAAATGGGAGATATCATAATTTCTAAGAAACTTGATTCCATAGTTGCAATCTTCCTGAACCTTATCTTTTAAATAGATTCTATGGATCAAGATGTAATTAAAGTTGCATTATATTTACTTCTAAAATGTTGATATATGTTTATAATAGAACATGTATGCATGTATCAAAATCACAACATATTAAGATAGGATCTATACTGGAAAGGCATATTTTTCTGAGCAGTAGCATAATTAATGAAGTCTAAGCCATTTCTGATTGCAAATATTTCATAGTCACTTGTAAATATTTTTGGCACAGCTTGAATGCTCAGAAGTATTTAGTTGATAGATTTTTTTAAAAAAAAGTAAGCCTAGTATGTATTCTGCAATGTATCTTTGTTTTTATCTTTCAGAGGTAAGAGCAAAAGAAAAATGTTATCAACAGAATATATACTGGCCTGCAAAATGGTGACTAAATCAACATGGAGTAGCATGACATAAGAAAGTCAAAGGAGAGTGGTCTTGAATTCCCATTCTACCAATTCATTCTACCATTTTCTTTTCAGCTGGCCTCTACTCAATTTGGCTTATAAAATAACTGTTTGGTTTTCAAGGCTTCTTGGACAATCATAGTAATCTATCCACCCCCCACGTTAATTCCATTAAGAATGATTTTTTTAAAAAAAATCAGAATACATGCAGGTCAGTTGTTAGAACTTAGACAACGTTCTTCAGCAATGGGTGTAGTATGTTTGAGATGGCATGTTCATGAGCTTAAGTTTAGAATTAAGATAGGATTATGATTTGATCACAATACATAATACTTTATTTAGGTGTTTTCCTTAATTTCCTAAATGGTACAAAAGGGTTGATGGAGAAATGAACCAAACATAGACCAATGGAACAAATACTGAAAATAGCTTATTCTTTCAATATCCCAGACATCAAATGGCTTGCAAAACCATTTATGGATCCTGTCTTTAAAACCTTCTTGGTTTGGCTCTTAAAGAGGCAGTATACAGTGGTAACCATATTCCCTTCTCTTTCCAACCCTCTCCTTACTGATTATTTCCTGTTCTCAGACATTTGCAACAACATTTAAGGTTTGTTCCCATAGAACGTGAAGAGTTTAAAATAGCAGGAAGCACTGTTTTGTTGCAAATATGTACATTTCCTGCTTTGTCCTATAAACATGTTGCATCCATGGGAACTGTCTCTGATTCTGTCAATGGTCTGTGTGCTCTTCTCATTACCACTGAGTCTTTCCTAAACCTCTTTCTTGTGATATATCCAGGTGAGCTTGTTTCCAGAAGAGAACATCTGGAAAAGCTTGTTCTCTTCAGTGTTGTCTTTCTTGTCATTCCCTAGCCTAAGGCCAACAATTTTTGACCAATGCCACCCAGCCAGAAAAACATCCAGAGAACTCACATAAGTGTGCGTGAAAGAGAAACTTCTGAACAATCATCCACGCAGAGAGAAATAAAAATGGGTGAGAACTTGGATACTTTTCCAATGTGGTTATGTGCAGGAAAGCAACATTTGAAAAGACCAAAGTCTGCTGACTTGACTAAAGCAACGAAGTATACGGACAGAGTATTTTGTGTTGGATTTGGAACTAGGCAATGTAGACTGAAATAGAACCTCAGTTATGAACTTTTTGGGTGGTCTTGGACAATGTCCTTAACTTCTGCTCAACATCTGTAAAATGGGGATAATTTGAACATCCTATTTTTGACTTGCCTGATCTTTTAGAATTTTTATGTGGCTTGTAATAGCAGTTAACACTGAATTCTTTTCATTTCAAATATATAAAAACAAAGCTGACCTACAATAACCAGCAACCAAGTAGCATTAGGAAAAGCATACTTACATGACAGAAAAATACATAAAGTCACAAAGCCTGTAGAACTGGCTGTAGTGCATCCCAGATGGTAATTAATTCTATTTCACTGATGTCATGGCTGAGAAATCTCTTTCTATATTAGAAACAAATAAAATTACTTTTAACAAATAATATACATTGTATATTTGTTCTTCTTTCTAAGTTAAAGGTCTATGGACTAAGAGGGACTGAGATATTAGCAAGAGCCATGGTGGTGCAGTGGTTAGAATGCAGTATTGGAGGCTAACTCTGCCCACAGCTTGGAGTTTAATCCTGACGGGGCTCAAGGTTGGCTTAGCCTTCCATCCTTCCAAGGTCAGTAAAGTGAGGACCCAGATTGTTGGGGACAATAAGCTAACTCTATAAACCACTAAAAGAGGACTGCAAAGCACTATGAAGCGGTATATAAGTATAAGTACTATTGCTAAGGGAGGGGGAAATTTTCCCAATCATAAACATGGTGCCTAAAGCAGCTTATCTTGAAACACAAGTTTCAATTTTTGATTTTGTCAGGACTATGACAGAGAAACACGCTATCGCTGAACCCTCCCCTTCTCCCCCCACAGACATCTTACTATTGGCCAGGATGACTAATATTGCTGGGAGTAATAATTCAACAATATCTGAAGGGCTGCATGTTCTCCACATTAGAAATATAAAGAGACCACACAAATCTAATTTAGGAACATAATCCAGAGGGCAATAGAAGAAGGGGATGACAGAGAATGAGGTGGCTGGATGGAGTCACTGAAACAGTAGGCGTGAGCTTAAATGGACTCCAGAAGATGGTAGAGGACAGGAAGGCCTGGAGGAATGGAGTCGCGATGGGTCGGACATGACTTCGCAACTAATAAGAACAACAATCTAGAGGGGTCCTTGGTGCTCTCTGAGTTTGCTTGTTTTCTTGCAGACATTTCATTACCCTAAATAGGTAACATCATCACTAGCACTGATGATGTTATCTAGTTAGGGAAATGAAATGTCTGCAAGAAAACAAGCAAGCTCCAAGAGCACCAAGGACTCCTCATTTCAACCCTGAGCTACAGATATGCTCCTTCATTGGTACCACATAATTTAGACCTCCAAAAATGGACAGTTTTCCCTCATCAAATTAGAGAAAGTTCAACCCATGCTAGACTGCAGTGATGAAGTAATCCATATATCACATCTGTTAGTGCAGAAATTATTAAATTATATTTCTTTAAAATATGGTTTTATTGACACCGTTTGATACCTAACATAATACAGTTTACAGTGTTAACAATCCTTTTGTTGGGGAAACATCATAGTTAAACTTCAGACAGATATATTGTTCATAAGGAAGACTGAATATAGGAAGCTGATAGTTTGAAATAACTCATTGATTCTTTTACATAAAATCAGTTGGGTGGTCTATTCAGGCTAGTAAATACTGTTATGGTTCTGGCTAATGAAACATTTCAAAGAACTTCCCGGCATTATTTTCCTAAAAGTCTTTTATTGTTACAAAATGTCGGTACAGGCACAACGGAGGGATGCTAGGATCTAAGTTCTCTTCCTCTGAGCAGTTAAATTATCAGCATGTTCCCTCCCTAAATTAGTTGTCATATCTGACATTATCCAATTAGTGTGAAGGTCAAATGTTTTCTTCCTCTTTCTTTCCTGGGCTTTACCCCCAACCCTTCTTCTGCTCTGTATTAACCCCATAATTACCAGACAATTCTGCATATTGTCAAAAGCAAGAATATATAATATTTGCAGCGTTGACAAATACGTCTCACAAAACATGATCACTCAGAAGAAGAGACCAGGAAATCAGGAACAGATTAATAAAACTGATGATTCCATTGCGCTCTAAGATTTCTCTTCCCTCCGTTCCTCCCTCCCTCCCCCCCTGATAGAGATCAGTGGGTCTAATGACAAAGGTCATTTTTATTTGGGGTCACCTCTTATTGCTGAATCTAGTATTCCCTCCACAGTTTTCTACAATTGGCACTTACTCAATAAAAACAAAAAGAAACAAGTTATTTTTATTCTTACCATTTAAATTTTTTTTATGTGAACTTGTTACTAAAAAGTACAGTTGCCCTGAACAAGTTTAAACAACTCTTTCTTACTTGTGTTGGCTGTGAATAAACAAGAGTTCTTCAGATCCATGGAGATGATATTGTTGCCTTTCACTGCTTGGCACCTTCCAGATTTATTGAGATTATTAACCATGTAATTCTCAATCAGATAAGGACTGTGCTATCTGGAGAGGAGATTGAAGAGAGCTAAGTCATTGCAGTGTATTATGCAATTTTATATGAGAATAATATATGAGCAAGATAAGGAATTTAGAAGATGTTACCCATAAAAATGGTTCTTAAATTAGGTTTTTTTTTCAGACCTTTACTAACTGCACTATTTCATAGCAATTCTGTAAAATGGCAGCTACCTATGGCATATATAAGGATTCTGGCTCTGACTGAAGTTTTCTGAAGTGTTCTACCGTGTGAATAAACGTTGGATCATCACAAGACTACAGCCAGGAGATAAAGAATAAGGCCTCCCAGTATTTATACATTTGGCCTTTTTCCTACATAAAGATATCCTGCTGTGGAGGTTTGTGTTTGCAGATCCCATCTCTAAGGCGATATGATCTGCAAACCTTCTCTTCTGAGCTTTAATCCTGGCAGCGATGAGTTTTTATAAGATGGAAAACAACAAAGCCACTCAAAGTGCAAAGCAAAAAAAAAAAAAAAAGAAGAAAGCCTAACATTAGTCTCTCTGCTCCCACTTCCAAATGACGTCTATGTTTTAAAATACCCCCACCCAAAGCTTCTAGATCAAAGCAGATGAAAGAAAGGCTAAACGGATCGTCAAATGGTTGGCCCAACCTCTGAGACCAGCTGGAATAATCATGGCAGGAGCACCACCAAAAAAATCATAGCAACAGGAAAGAAGTGAAAAGAGAAAAAATGTGAAATGTGGAGTTTAATTTATGAGGATATATAGTTCTAAATGTCTCGATCCACAATTAAGAACTAAGCCAGGTTAGAGGAAGTCTGTGTGGTGAAAATTGGAATAAAGAAATTGTGGACAATAAATGAATCTACTGTAGATCAAAGTTCAAATGAAAACAATTAGAACCACATTCAGCAGGGCCAGGGGCATTTCTGGAATCGCTGCCAGGTATTTTGCCCCTTTTTTTTGGAAATCTAGACAATATTCTATACTGCTTAGTGTCCTTGGTTGAGCCAAAATAAATCCTAGCCTCAATTAAACAGTTACAGAAAGGACCCATCTTCTACCACTAGAATTATTTATAGGGAAAGGAGCCAGAAAGCTTAAATTACAGACACTAATTTCTTCAGTGTTCAAAAGTAATTGGATCCAGGTTTCATTTCAGTTTAATAGAAAACTGTCAAATGTACAAGCCATATTTATGAAATCTCCTGGAGAATACAGGATGCAAATCATAAGTGGGATTTTTCACACTCACATTTCTGGATAAACCAGGGAAGGTCCAGTAGAGCAGTTCTGGCTATGTTCTTAAGGAAATCAGAACATTGGAAATGACATGAAAGATCTTCTGCTTCCAACAGGACTGGAACAAAGTTCCAGTTTCATCATTGTCTGTTTTAGAGTGATGTCTCAATTTGTTTCTTTTTCAGATACAAACAAGATAAAAATCAGATTATATCTGTTGGTGTAATTCACTTTAGCATTAGAATTGGAGCTGGATTTTCATGGATATGGATTTTCATACATATCTAGACCCAAGACTACATAATTCAGATGGCAATCGAATACACTTACAGAGAAAAGTAAAATGTTTTTTACACTGAACTTGTCCCTAGAACTTAGGGGACTTGTCCATGTAGTTTTCTTGCCAACCGCATGGAAGTGGTTTGTCATTGCCTAGCATACAATTTTCTGGTGGTGTCCGTCACATCCAAGCATGGAAGCTGAGCTTCCAATACCAGTTGGGGTATTGTCACTTGATAAGTATGTCTACTTACATACAATGGAATAGCTTCTGAGCAGGCATACATAGGATTATGCTTTTAAACAATGACTAAAACAAGCTTTGTGAGGGAATAATTTACTGTATGAACAAAGTTTTCCATTAGAAAAATTAAGAAGCATATCTTTCTCTTACCTTATATTTGCTCCTAGTTACAGTTAGAGTTGGATGTCATGTGTTCTGGCAGCTAAAGAAAACTGACTGACTATTTCTGACGTAAATTTATTTTAGTATGTTCAGTTCCTGAATTTAGTTTATAAGCACCAGAATTAAGGCCAAATATGTCAGTGTTCTGAGAATTCATCAGTCATTCCTTCCTTACTCTCCCTAGGACTCAGATTTTTATAAGTGCTCAACCATATTGGGAACCAGAAATAGATTTTCCACAAAAAAAAACTTTTTTTCCTATAATTATCTTTATTTGCTGAGTTTCCTGATGTTCGTTCTATATCAAACAGCCTCACTGTTTACTTTGTCTTTGCTCCTCCTTTGCTCTTTATACAGATTTGCGTATTTTTCCAATGGGAAAATGGGACTTTAGAGATTTTGCCAAACAAAGGTATTTCATAAAAAATGTGTCGGTAATATTACATGCTAGTTTTCTTATATCTGTATGAAAATGATTTAAGTCTTTTTTAAAAAGCTCTCCAGAACCTTTAATAATTTTTTGTTATGTTAAGAATACCAGGCCAGTTGTACTGGATCATAAGATTCATTTGTTGTAGTTTTCCATCTTGAATTCACCTATTTTGGAGGCTTCCAATGAAGCATAAGGGAAAGATATAAACTTGAAGATTTTCAAAGTCCAAATATGTAATCTCATATCATGTGCCCTGTGGAACACCATTCTCCCTCAGATTCCTATGGTCCTTGCCCTGGGCCTATTTAAATGAGCTCTTAAAATGGTGGCCTTGGGTGAGACACTCTCTCTTAGCTCACCTCACCTCACAAGGTTGTTGTGGGGAAAATAGAAGGAGGAAGGTGTTTGGATATGTTTGACTCCTTGAGTACATTGTAAAACAACAACAACAAAAATAAATAAATAAATAAATAAATAAATAAATAAATAAAGTGGCTCTGTCCCTAGGTCCTGGATAGACGTGTTTGGTATTTAATTTTCTTTTCTGGACTTTCCCTTTTGACGATATAATTGCTGTGTTTTTAAGACAGCTTTATTAGGGTATTTTTGTATGCTGCCCAGGATTGTTACAAATTGAAGTGACAGATAAATCTCATAAAAAAAGAAATACAGTCCTTCCAAAGATCACAACTGATTTGACAGTAGGGCTTGTTGAAGTCTTATCTGATCAAACTGTATATTCAGACGTTTTCTGAACCTGTTTCTTTTAGTAAAGATAATGATCTTGACAAGATTTTGGAAGTGGTTTGCCCTGGCCTCCTTTCTAGATTGAGAGAGAGTGATTGGCCCAAAATCACCAAGCTGGCTTCATGCCTAAAGTGGGACTACTCCTGGTTTCCCAATTTCTAGTTTGGTATCTCAACCATTACACCAAACTGATCCTTGCTAAGAGTGTTTGGGGCTAGAATTGGAATGCCTCTTTTCTGCATAGAAGCAAACTGCTTGATGAATCATCAGGTTCCATGTTGGAATGTTTCTCTGGCTCTTAAAGGGTTTCTGGATGCTGACATCCACCCACACTCCACTGGATAGTCTTTGAAGATTTATTTTGTTTAAGTTGGGATTTTGCTTAATAAACTTAGCTTTCATGAATCTAGGGACAGCTGGCTGAGATATTCTGTGATTAGAACTAGATCCACAAAGATTGTCTTCACGAATCTCAGGCAAGAGCTATACTATTCCAAACCAAACAAGTTATTTGGCATATGGGGCAAAATTCCAGAAGGAATCCTCCCCATGCCATATAGTAAAAGGTAATAACGACAAAAAAGTAATAATTTAATGAAACCTACAATCCACTGCATGAAGTAATCTGCCTCAGTCTGCTTAGTTGATCTTGATTTCTGATTTCTTGACCCAATTCTCCAATTTCTAGCTTCCATTCAGACATCTTTAAATGGCCCATTCATATTATTACTATTGATGACATGGCAATTAAATGACTGATAATTACTCATCTCAGTTCAAGAAGATTGATTGAGAATCCCCTACTGGAGACTGAACGTGGCTGAGAAACAGAGGCACAAATGTCATTTTCACCTAATGTTGAATAATGTTACAATTTACCTTTGTAGATGTTGACATGATGACAGAAAGTGGACACAGCTGCAGTCACAGAAGATCTCTGTAAAAGCAGATTTTCACACGAATGAAAATTCATGATTTTGATCGAAGAGCAGATAATGATTTAGTTTCTTTTTCAGTTCTTTTAGTTTTGTCAAATAATTAAAAGTTTAAAATGCTATCCTTGGGCTTCTAAGACTCCAACTGGCAAACTTTACAATCTGATTGGCAAAATATACCATCTACAGATAACTTGATTAATAGCCGATTTTGGCTATCTCATCAGTCATAAACTTTATTATTAACATTCATCTGGGAGCATGGATCATCTTTTTTTTTTAATTCTTTATTTTCTGCTTTATCCACCTATGCAAAAGGAAAGAGGCAACTATCCTGCTTGGCAGTACACTTCCAGCCTTTCTTAAGTTTTATTTTCAAACATTTCATCTGGTGGCATTCTTTTCCTTGCTTTAGAATTTGGATGCTTACAGTTTCCATCTTATTTAGTGTTTATTTGGGATGAGATTGCATCTGGCCAGAATCAAAGTGATCTGGCAGGAGTCCACCTGGCACTGAATCTTCTTACTCAACAGTTCCCCCACTCCACCCTTTCAACTGAATCAGAGAAACCGGAGACTGGAATGGAGCACAAGGTCACACAACCCATCAGGGAGGCCAGAGTGGGTTCGTTGTTCCCTCCATCAAGGATTGGCCATTCCTGTCTAAAGTGACTCAACCTGCAGGGTTTCCATCATTTCCCTTGAGGAGGAGATTGTTCCACCGGCCTTGTGGACCTCACAGTAAGGAATATTTTCCTTTGCTTAGTTCCATCCTGTTTCAGCCCTGCGTCGTCTTCAGAAACTCCCTGAGTGATTGGACTTTTTGTTTTGGATGGTGACTGGAGGGTTACACGGTGTTCCCTTGTCCTCTGATGAAACAATCATAGAGCCAAAATTAATAGGCTTCTTTTCAAACCATGGGTTGATTTTAGGTTTATTTTCTTAAAAGGAATGAAAATAGCAAATGTCAAACCCAAATTAAAACAGGGAGGGGA